TAAAGCACCTACTTAGAACAAGCTTAGCAAAGCACAGGGACCAAGGTTCAATTCCCCAGCACCACATGCCAGCCAGCCAAATAAATAAATATTAAAAAAAATAATAATAAAGCACCTACTTAGAACAAGCTTAGCAAAGCACAGGGACCAAGGTTCAATTCCCCAGCACCACATGCCAGCCAGCCCCGCCCCCTGGTGGGCTGAGCTGGACACACACACATAAATAAATAAATAAAATTAAAAAAACTTAACCTGTATCCCAGTGTGTGGTCCATGCCTATAAGCCAACACTCTGGGAGGCTGAGATGGGAAGATCTCAAGGTGAAGTCCAACTAGGGCAACATAAACACTTATGAAGACCCTATCTCCACATAAAAAAAAAGGAATGGGGATGTCAGTGCAATAAAAAGATCTTACCTTATTTATTTGATAAAATATCATGTAGATGACTCAAATATTCGAAGAATAAAGACTCAGGACAATGGTCATGTCTTTTACTCAGCTTCATCTTTCAAACTTGAAGTTTGCTCAACATATAAAGTTTAGTCCAAATGAAAGTGATGAGGGGCATTTCTGGGCAGGGACGGAGGGGCAGAAGGGTGTTTCACGGGGACATAGCCCAGCCATAGCCCCATCAATGACCAACACAAGCTGTCATTGTCCAGGAGCAGTCTGCTCAGGTCAGACTGAGCCATAACATTTGCTCAGTATGGCTTTGACGGTCTAATAAGGAAAGAAGCTAACTTGGAGACACTTGTAAAAACCCTGTGATTTGGAGTCAATCAGGCTTTGAGGCCCTGATTAGCAAATGAATTTTGTGTGATCCTCCAGCAATTCCTTTCAGGTGCCTGACCCTCAATTTTTCTATGGGTCAAACAGAAGGCAGTGGTCCTCCCTTGTCTATGCTTTCACTTTTCAGTGTTTCGTTTGCCTGTAGGCCACCAGCATTGACATTTCTCAGTAATCCTCCTTCTGATGTATAGAACTCAGAGGGTAAAGAGCCTGCCCTAATGCCCCATATTTTTAGTACCAGGTACTGAACTTACGGTCTTATGCTGAGCTACATCCTGAGTGTCTTCATTTTTTAATTTTAATTTTTAAACTCCGGACAGGATCTTTCTAAGTTGCCTGAGATAGGCTTGAAGTTGCAGTCCTCTTACCTCAGCCTGAGGTCTAGGATTATAGGCATGTGTCACCAAGCTAGGATCTGTACAGTATATTGAGAGGACAGAGGTGAGGTTCACCTAATTTTCTTTGCATTATATGTGTTATAGTTCTATTTTACTGTTATTTACTGTTGCTAATCTCTTACTTTGGCTAATTTATAAATTAAAGTTTATCGTAAGTATGTAGAAATAGGCAAAACTTAGTAAACAGAGTCTGGCTCCGTCGGTTTCAGCTTTCCACTGGGGGCTTTGGATCTAACCCCTGCTAATAAAGGGGGATCATTCTGCTGTCATGAAGCTGGCCCACAGGTGGCCAAGGGGTTCTTAGCGAGCGTCCATCCTGAAACACAGTCTGTTTCTGGGTTCCTAGGACTATATGAACTTGATCTAACAACCAATGGCCTTGCCACCACGGGAACGGAAATGATCATCTCAGCCAGCCTGGTGGCCAAGGACAACGGCACCCTGGCCCTGCCCACCAACACCCACATCTACCGCTTCCACTGGATCCACACCCCACTCATGCTCACTGGCAAGGAGGAGAAGGACCTCAGCTCCACTATTAGTGTGGTGGGCACCATGCCTGGGGACTTCCCAGTCTCCGTCTGGGTCACTGCTGCCAATTGCTGGATGTGCCATCAGGTGGCCCGGAGCTCTATCATCGTCCCCATCACAAGTGAGCATCTTTCTTGTTTGCTACTTTGCCACAAACCCTTGATGTAGAGGAAAAAACAAAACCTAGCCTCAGTAGTCATCACAGATATGGAAATTATACCCACAGGTTGCTTCTGTTACCAGCTATGCTGAAAAGGATTAGAAAAGAGGAATACCTACTGCTGGCAGCCTGGTGCTGAAATGGACAATTAAAACAGATACCGCTACTAGCAATATAAATTGTGACGTTTCAGAGATCACCTGGTTGGGGCCGGGGAGATGGCTCAGTGGAATAAGTGCTTCCCTGGCAAGGGCAACGGTCTGAGTTCAATCCCTGGGTCCGCAAAAAAAAAAAAGAGAGAGAGAGAGAGAGAGAGATCACCTGGTTAATACATAATGATGAAATTATGCTAGTCTTTGACCTGGTTGTTTACTTTTTTTCCTTTTGCAGTGTTGGGGATGGAAGCCAGGATTCCATGTATGCTAGGAAAGCACCCCAGTTTTGAGCTACACCCTCAGTTCTATTTCCTGCTTCTTGCTCACATCTCCCCCACCACACTCGCTGTCATTCCCTCTCCTTCCTCTCATTCTCTCTCTGTTCAGCAGCTTCTTGCCCTCTTGCTCTTTGGAAGCTTTTTTTTTTTCTTTTTTTTTAAAGCTTATTGTTTAATAATGAATTCATTTTCAGGAACTTGGCCTCTACCAGAGCAATGCTTTATGCACTAAGATGTTCTCTGCAGTGGTGGTTACAATAGCAAGAGAAGATATAAGCAAGCTAAGTACAAAGCCATTAGGACTGGTTAAATATATTGAATTAATTTTTATAACTATTAATAATGATAATCACAATAAGTTTTCAAGGTCATGAGTAAATACTCAGGCTTGTAAAATTGCATATTAAAAACCCAAAGCACATAGGGGCTGGAGAAATGACTCAGTAGATAAGCACTTGCTTGACAAGCGCAAGGGCCTGAGTTCAATCCCCAGTTCCGCAAACAAAACAAAACAAAACAAAACAAAACAAAAACCAAAGCACAGAATTGCAGAATTGTATGACCAATGCAGTAAGTTGTGTTTAATATATGTATGTACATGTTAACACATCCACACATAATTTGCAATGTTTCAAAACATTAACAGTGGTAATGTTCAACCAAGTTCACCCTATTTTTTATTTTTTTATTTTAGTGCAGGGTCTATAGGGTCTACAGGATTTCACTACATAGATCAGACTTGTAGTGATTCTCCTGTTTTCAGCCTCCCAAGCGCTGGGATTATAAGCTTGTGCCACCATGCCCAGTCTCAATAGCCATCTCAGTGAGCCCTGGGGGCGGGGCTGGCACAGCAGGCCAGGGGTCGAACCTCTGACCCCTGCATCTGCCTAAGTAGGTGTTTTAGTCCACTGAGCTATCTGGCTGACCCTTGCCCCATTTTTATTCTGTTTTAGAGACTGAGCACATTTTATTTTCTGCTTTTGTTGTGGTGGAAAAATCAGCATTGAATTTTTTGTGTATTTTCTTCCTTCAGAGAATGAGACTTAGCGCTGTGGCCTGACTCAGCCCAGAACACTGGGAGCTGAAATGTAGTCAGTAGAACTTAGAACCACACATTTACCTAGGCATGGGTCACAGTTTGAAATACGGTCATCCAGCAGACCATGATGGTGCACACCTAGCGTGCCAGCACTCCGGGAGGCTGAGGCAGGAGCATAATAAGTTTGAGCCCAACCTAGGTAACTTAGTGAGATCCTGTCTCACAAAATAAAAAAAGGATTGAGAATGTAGCTCAGTGAGAAGGCCCTGGATTCAATCCCCAGTACTGAGGGTGGGGCAGAGGAAGAGGGAGGAGAAGGGGAAAGAGCCATCCCTTGGTATCCACAGGGGATCGGTCCCTTGACCTCCATGGATACCAAAATCTGTTGATGCTCAAGTCCCTGATGTAAAAAGTACAGTATTTGCACACAACCCATGTCCAGTCTCCTATATCCTTTTATCCCTAGATGACTTACAATACCTGATATAATACAAATGCTGTAGAAATAGTTGGTAATGTATCATTTAGAGAATAAGGACAAGAAAAATGCTTATGCAATTCAGTTCTGTTGCTTTCTTTCTTTCTTTCTTTCTTTCTTTCTTTCTTTCTTTTTTTTTTTAATGGATCTGGGGATTGAACTCAGGCCCTTGCGCTTGCCGGGGAAGTGCTTAATCTACTGAGCCATCTCCCCGGCCCTTGCATTTCAGTTCCTAGGCAATGTTTTTCAAGTCTTTTTTTATCTACAGTTGGTTAATTCTGTCCATGGAGAAGCCCCGGGTATGGAGGCTCAAGGAGGCTTCCCCAAAGTTCTTTTCTTTTCTTCTCCTTCTCCTTCTCCTTGTTCTTCTCCTTCTCCTCCTCTTCCTCCTTCTTCTTCTTTAATTTTGTGCAGAGTCTCACTGTGCAGCTCGGACTTCTAGTGCTCCTCTTGTTTTTGGACTCGGTCGATGGCTCAGGACACCTGGGGGTAGGGCTGGTGCAGCATGTGGTGCAGGGGTTTGAACCCTAGTTCTTGTGCTTGCCTAAGCAGGCACTTAGTCCACTGAGCTATCTTGCTTGCTCTAAAGTTCCTTTTTTTTTTTTTGTTACCAGGAATCAAACTCAGGACCTTGTACTTACCAGGCAGGCACTTAAGCCCCTGAGCTTCCTCCCAGCAAAAGTTCCTTTCAAAGCCTGTGCATGTTTCTGGTTCTGGGTGTCTTTTTTGTGCCAGAAAATTGAAGATCCTGGTGAAAAGGTATTAGAAGTAGAAGCTGAGGGGCGGGGGAAATGGTTTGGTAGAATAAGCACTTGCCTGGCAAGCACAAGGGCCTGAGTTCAAAACCCTGGTTCCACCAAAAAAAAAAAAAAAGTAGAAACTGAGCAAGAAGCATACACTGGGGGTCTTCACCAGTTCCCAGACAGCAAGAGCAGGAGGTTTTTAAAGGCTTCTATGTTCGGGGCCCAGTAGGACTTTTTTCTCCACCCAGCTCTGACAGCCAGAAGATCCAGATTAGAAGAGGTGGTTCACAAGCTGCGCATGACCTCACTCCAGGCTCCTTATTCCCTGCACCTCCACAGACTCACCCTTCCCCTATCTTTCTCAGAATTCCTCGTGGGAAACATCGTGGTCGCCCAGAACACCTCCTTGCCGTGGCCCAGCTCCTATCTCATCAACACTGTCCTGAAAATCTCCTTTGTCCTCCATGACCCGAGCCACTTCTTCAAGACAGCCTCCTTTCTCTACCGCTGGGACTTTGGAGATGGGTATGTCCTTATTCACTGTTGCTTAGTGCCCCAAGTCCCAGGCTGGGGGCTGTGGCCATCCTGTAAATTGTGCACAGTGCTCTGTCCATTCCAATCATATACTCCTGAAGCACCTGCTATGTGTCAGGCCCGGGACCCCGGGGCCACACATGAACAAGCCCCATTCCAGTAAAGAAGGCCTTCGGTGCCTGGTACCACCCTTTACGGAAAGTCAAGGTCAGTAGGATTCCTTTATTTGATCTTGAAGGACACCCACCTGAAGCAGGACCTTCTTTATTGGCAAACGCTCAAAAATTTCAGGTCTGTGCTATCTTCCCTGAAAATTTAGCATCAAAATATTATAGAATATAAAAATCTATAAAGAAGGTCTCATTAGGGAAAGTACTCAAGAAGGATGGACACAAAGAAAAGGAAAACCACTTATTATAGGAGATCTTAATATTCTACACTCAGATATGGATAATTTTATTTATTTATTTTTTTCTTTTCAAAGTTTTATTGATAAACATATAGCAATGAGACAGTTTCAAATCAAATCGAAAGTACAGTTTCA